AGTAGTAGTAGTAGTAGTAGTAGTAGTAGTAGTAGTAGTAGTAGTAGCGTAGTTGAAGAGTACCACCTCCCTCACCGGATTCGCCGCGCCGCCCGCAAACCGCGCAAACCGCCGCGCCTGCAGAAGCGTGATGCTTGGCAACCGCGCTTGACCGCCCGTCGAAGGAGCTCTTGTACCTGAGACGACGGTCGGTTTCTGGCAGGTAGAGGTAGAGTCCGAAAAACATATCCTCTGTAGAGTCTGAGTCCTTAGTAGATCCAATGTCAGTAGAGTCTGAATATTTGATCCCTGGTCATATGGAGGGTGAATATTGAATCTTCAGTCTGAGTCTATGAATGAGGGCCTTTTTGAAGAGTATATTTACCGGTAGCTCTTCGGGCGGCCAAGTGGACAAGCCATTAGTTTGTGACCGAACTCATCTGGAACCGGATCTATTCCAAGCACGGTCCGCGAATCTTCAGCTAATTCGTCTCAATGCTTCAAAATGACTCAAAAACTGTCAATTCCACAAGTCTTCCTTGTTGAAGGTGCTGGCAGCAAGGTCTGGGGGCTCCTCCGACCTGGTCGACCTCCCGGATGTAAGGTGCTTGGGCTGCACCCGGATGTTCGGTCTACCGAGGAGGTGGGCCCCACACGGTGCCAGAGTATCGTGTGCCGGACATGTTCCTCAGGACCATCAGGGGCATGAAACAAACCCATCATACGCAGCTGATACAGTACCTACCAACGTATTCAATTCTAGATGACTCTCTTGGAGCCGATTCTGAAATATCTCAGACACAAGGACCTCAAAATCTCTCGAAGAATGGTCTGCTCAACCCGGATCTGGGAGAATGGCGCAGTCTTTTCGGTCTTCTTTCCGGTGAGTATGTTCCACCAATCGAAAACCAGCGGAGGCTCGGCTGAACCCCTTCTTTTGCCTCATCGTCGTGCTCCTGAGGCAGGTGGGAGGCCAAGCGTTCGAACTCCTTCTGCATGGCACCTAGACATGATGCAACAAGACGACCAGATGGGACTGGAGCATTGACATTTGGTGGTTGAAAAGGGATCCTGTATCATTATATATATGCCGCATTATGGAATTGTCTGGGCGTATCATCTACATGTCAGGCCTCAAACCGAAGGTTCAGCGAAAAGAGTATCCCTTGCGACTTTGATTGTTCACTTAGCTGCCTTTGGTTGCTAGTATAAACAAGCAGTGGATGTGACCACCGGGGAATGTTGTTCACAAAAAAAATGAAGGCACCTGTGACCAATGCATGATCCAACAAACACTTTGGTTTTCTTAGTAGACAGAATCAAATAGAACTCACCAAAATCGAGCTGTAACTGAAAAACCTGCCATCAGACGATAGAGCGCTCCTCTGCGGGTTCTTCGGCTGTCAAAACCGAACAGTCAGTTTCCGAAAAAGGCCATGTAAACGAAGCACGGGGGCTCCCCCCGTATACCTTGCACATGTTTCGCAGTACCAAACCAGTCGCCGGCCGACAGTCGGACGCGCGCTTGGTCCGGACGATGGGAGACGGACGGACAAGCCGCGTCCGTTTTCCACGCGGGCGAGGGCGGGACCTCGATGTATCTGGAAGGTGGCTGGAAGTCTTGTTATTCTTTTGTCACGGTCCCAAGGCTGGGAAACCACAGAAAACCGAGCAGAAACCACGTAACATCCACAAACGTCGTCGCCCCTTTGGAGTCCAAGCCGAACCTGCTTCTTATCGTACCCGAACATGTTTCCTCTCCATCGACATGATCTCTACCAGTCCCCAAAAACTCCAGATAGGACTTCCCAATTAGCCTTTTCAAATCTTTTCAACATAAAACTTCAGGATTCCACATGCCTAGTTCCTCCAAGTCTCCAAGTGTGGGAACTTGATCCAAGAGACATGTTTTTGGGGTCACGACCGGCCTGGGGCCTTGGGTCATGCTCGTTCGGTCACGCTCGTTGGTCTCCCAAGTGTCACGATGACTGGTTTTCCAAGGCACGGTGGACCATGTCTGCATCCGAGCGGAAGACCTCGCTACAAGCGTGTTGCCTCGGTTCCGTGCGGTGTGGACACCTCCATCGATGGCCAGTGGCCAGTGAAGTGAAGGGGCTGGTCTGGGCTGGTCTGGTATTCTTCTGGGCCCCCGGACAAACAGGTGGGAGTTGAAATTTGAAATTAAGTCAATATAACTACATCTGTTTGGTTGTTTGGTTGGGAGGGTAGATTCAAAGAAAGCACCAGGCTTTTGCTAACAGACTCGCCCACTTCTGAAACGGGCATCCCTTAGACGCGGATGATCCTGAAATATTGAGAAGAGGAATTCTGGAGCTCCTGATGATGTCATTTTCAAATTTTGTGTGTAACTGTAACAGTTTTATGTGTAGCATCTCGAGCAAAGTGTTTTGTTTGTCTTGGAAAACTTGAGCTATTCGGCTATTCTCCCTCTCAAAATTTCAGTATGCAATAGTGGTTTCGACATTCCCGATGGACTAAGGGTATTCTGCTGGCCTCTCCAATCCGCAGTCTGTAGCCCAGGTGTCTCTATAAATCTTCAACTCAAGACTTGACACCCATCAAACCACGTTCAAGAATTTCCAAGTAAGAGGACTCCGATAGAAGCTGCTGGTCAGTGGCGGCTGCAACACCCTGAGAGCCCCTGGGGGTCGATGGGAGGCTATCCGCCTGGGCTGAAGGTGGGTGATGAGGATTGGATATGATGGGAAAGCGCTTGCAAGGTCATGGAACCAAATCTCTTTATTGGTCGAAGACATCAACCACCGCTTGGAACCCTGATAACTCTGAAACTCCTGTAAAGAACAATTACAACGCTCAGAATGTTCCTGGATATGTAAAATATATGGTGTGTTGCTTTGCTTCTCCCACACTCGTGTTCCATTTCTTCCATCCTCTGGTGTAGCCTATCCTCCCTCGCGACGTCGCACCCTCTCCGCGGCACAACGCGAAGGACTTCCAGTGGAAGGCCAACTCGCTCCTGGGACTCTGGGGCTTGGCTGTCCAGTTCAAACTGAAACTGAATCTGCAAAAACTTGGATTTACTGCCCAGGAACCGGGAAAAAAATGAACACATATTTAACCTGGGAAACCAACAAATCACCTTAAGCCACACCTGCAAAAGCTCTACAAAAACTACTACTCATTGATACCAGAAGCATCCTGTCTGGGTGTCCTGGCTGGAGCTCCCGGATAGGAGTGCACCTAAGTGATATAGTCCAGCCAGGACGCCCTGGAAAGTCAGTTAGTCATTCTCAAGAATATTGTCGCGTTTAGGTTGGAGGCCATCGCCATCGCTAGTAGAGTGGAGGCCATTGCTATTATAATGGTTTAGAGGGGTCTTAGAAGGTCTGCAAAGTGGAACATCCAATCTTACTTATGTATCTGCTGCTATACATGGAGATACATAGAGCTACAGAATCCTGACAGGTCAGGATACCAGGACCAAGGGTCCCCTTATGATGGCCGTTCGGACGATTCACTGAGACTTCCAGAGGAAGTCTGAGGACCGTTCACCAAGAACGTCAAGACTGTTCTCGTGGAGTGGAGACTGTTCTCCCACAAAGGACATCCAAAGGGTTTCAACTGGGTCATCCACTTCTCCTGGGTAGCCCCCTAGCAGGATCTTCCAGCTATCGCATCGGCCCGGCCCAGCTGGGTGGTCGCTTCGCCCAAGTGGTCGAAGATTGGGCGATCATGGTCACCGTGCAACGGTGCAGGGCTGGGGATCGTTATATTCGCTTACGGCTCCAAGTACCTCTGTTTCCAACCTTGGATGGTCTAACCTTCTGAGGATGTGGTTGGAGCCCTATGGAGTATAAAGAAACAATACTTTGCTGCTCACAAGGCAACATAAGGTTCAAATTCCACATCAAGATGACAATTGGTATCAACAGTAGGCAAGCCTCAATCATTTTTGCAAACGATAGTCAAACCAAGCTCCTTCTCTTGAACCAAACAAACCCAATGTGGCTGACTCAACTGCCGACCCTGCCAATTCGCTGAGGCACTTGTTGATCTCCTCATAGAAAGGCTCTGTTTTTGCAGTCCTGCAACTGGCTCTGGGGTGAAACACCACTAGTGTCAGAGTGATTTCCAGATCACAGAAAGCAGGAGCCTATAAATATTTTCTTCTGGAAAGCTTTGTTATGGTATTTTATGTGTACTTGGGTATTTAGAGCCACCAAAGACGATTACATGAGCCCCAACCGCCCACTCCGAACTCGAGTCTTCTCGAAAACACCAACGGACGAAAACGGACTCCGAGCTCCTCATCTCCGCAGTGCCATCGGGGAGCGGCGTGACCTGTTTTCGGTGAAACGCCAAATCCTGCAACGACCCTATTCGGTTCAGGGTTACGTGGTACGTAGATTACTACGCAGGGTGCTTGGAGTCTTGAAGAAATCACAAACTACTGCTGTTGTTGATGTTGTTATTGTTGTTGTTGTTCACCATCGGTTCATGGATGGTGAATGGTTGCCGCCTTTTGTCCCGAAGACCACAAAATATTGTGTATATATGTATGGATATGGTATACATATGCTACTATGGGCTTGGAAACCCAGGATATATCAGGATATTGTACAACCAACACAAAACTCGAAACAAATTAAGGCAGTGTCTTCCGTCGAAAAAAAAAGGGACACCCACGCACACATTCTTGGTAGAACAAGCATCTGCCATCGACACCATTACCAGTCTCCAGTTTGATGCAAATCCAAGGCATAATATGGTGCAACCATGCAAAATATGTATCTGCTGGTTTCAGAACTCCTTGCTCAATTGCCACTTGCTGAGACAAGTCGAATGGCTTCAGGCTTCAACAAACCTCCGCCCTGCTACAGCATCCACCTCCATCACCCACCATGGCCTCCAGCTTTTGTCGCTTAAACAGTTGGGCCAAACGCTTCATGGCGCAACTGCCTTTGGCATCGCGCTCATGGAGCTCCTCATCGCGCTCAGCTCCGTGGTGTATTATTTTTTGTGCCAGGAGAGAGTCCGAAGGAACTTTGAGGGACCTGTAATGGAGGTGCCAGGTGTTGTAATACTGAGGTCCTTGGATTCGGATGGGTGCTTTCGCGATGCGCCCAACTCCAAATACCAACATGATATATAATATATATAATATTGGAAGTTCTGTTTGAAACCATGGGGTCCCATGACCAATGTCCAACATGGTGTCCTTTCACTAATCCATTGACCATCTCAAGCTTCGCAGCGCCCACCGTCTCCATACGAGGTTGGTCATTGGTCCGAGGTTCGTCTCATCCAATTTCCACTGAAAGCACCATAGAACACCTGTAGGTGATGATAACATGGAAGGCAGTAAATGAGATTAGTCATACATTCAGTTTCAACATGTTTCAACAAATCTCACTGTCGCTCGCTGTCCTCTCGTAAACTATTGATGAGGCTTTGCAGTATCATTGAATCACCATCATTTCCATTCTCAGCCACTGCAAATCCAGAACCTTCGCCCTGCAAAGAGAATACATGTCACGTGTTTTCTTTGGGTGAAGACACCGAATCGAAAGAACGAAATCCCATGGCGGCCATGTTGGATGAACATCCATTCCAATCGATAGCGAGGATGGCTTTGGATTGCGCAACGACTCCGTCAGGATCCCTTGGTCGCCAAGATCCCGTCCTCTGAGGAGAAGGTTTTCCTGCTGGATAAGGGTTCAGATCGGTGAAGATATAGAATTCATATCTAGGAGAAACAACTTCAAGGACGATGTGCAGTGAGGAGCATCTACCCCTGCACTGTCTGCTACGCTGGTAGTTCAGTCTTTTGATGCTTCTGGTGAGGTCGCGACGAGCACAAGAAGAACATAGACTTTCTGGACTTCGAAGGAAGCCAACACTTGAACAATGCATTTTTGCAGTGGAACTCCCCTTGGAAACAGAACACAGAAAGACTTGTCACATCAAATTCACAGTATTCTGTGGTAGCTGAAAAGGCAAAAGTTAAAAGGAACCGTCTTCAAAGCTTATCATGCTGAAACAAAAAGAATGGACCTTGACAGTGGCCACCTGGTCCATAGTGGTTCTTCCAGTTTGGACAATAATCATCGGTTGTACCCCTCAGTCCTATGTCAACCAGTTGCTTTTCGCGAACCGCCACGACCTTCCAGGGCGGACCCCAGCCTGATGCTATCAAGCTCGTGAGGCTTGGGAAAACTCGACTGCACCACCTGCTCGCAAACGGAACCTGTGGCACGCGTGTTTGGTCTAAAAATCAGCATGTTGCATGTCTGGCCGTAAATGCCACTGGGATTGGATGAGCTCGGTTCAAAATCCTCAATAGTCATGTTTCAGCACCCAAGTGGTGCCAGTGGAGTTGTCGTTCTTTTTCATCTCCTTCATCCTTGGTGACCAAATTCAAACAAGGGAACAAGATATGCCGAGTGTTCTTTGTGTGCCCTTGAAAGAAATATATGTTGTTTGTACCCTTTGGTCACAGAACAGATCTCTTTGGCCCTTCATGGTGCACTATGGCAGGTCGGAATCCTGCTTGGGACATCTGTTCTCCATCTCACATCACTGGAGCATCGCACCTCAAGCTGCTTCAAAACAACACACAATGTGTGACCAGGAAGCCTGCGTACGCCTGCTGACTTCCGCAACAAACAACATAAACGCAAAGACCGCTCCTCTGGGCCATAGAAGTCTCTCCCTTTTCGAGCCGCACAGTCCATGATTCCATCAACCCTTCTTTGTATCTTCGTCCAGTACCAGGCCTCTCGGCAAGTACTTGGACGTGACCTCAAGTACCCTAGAAAATAGCACATGACCTTGAAAAAAACGGTACCAGTACCTGCTCAAGGGGTACGTTTGGAGGTCTATCTGAGACCTCCAAGTCGGCTCGGCCGAGCCGCAGGCGATGAACTTGGCCGCGCGCTTCCCGGCGCGCACGCGTTCGCCGCTACGCTCGCCGATCTGCTCTGAGGGCCAATGGAAGGCCTGGCAAAGTGCTTGGAGCCCGGTTGGGGGTTGGAGTCCGGTGCGGTTGATTTGGTGGATGAGGATGGGTTTAGTTGCAGGCAGACATCTCGGAAGATAGTGATAGTTGCTGACCGGCTATTACAGGTAATGGGACAAACCCCATGATACCCAATGTGTGCTTCACTGAATGGTATTGTTGTACTGAGACCGGAATCTGACCCAAGGTCCTGGTCCTGCTGGCGCCATGGTCAACGGGAATAGCTAATGTGTTGGTTTCAAGTCACCGGACCTGGGCCGGGCCTCTTCTTTGTGGGGGTGCCTGGGCCTGGGTTCAAGAGGTAGACCATTGAAAATAAGACTGTATAGGCGGTAGAATCACTAGAATAAACATGAACAAACCCATTCTGAAAGCCACCTCATGTGGCCTCTGTCATCTACATACACTGCTACTTCCCAAGAGAGTCGCACTCAACCCAACCCAGCAGGTTGAGCTTCTCGCTTCCTGCCTGAGCAGAAAGCATCAAGGCAGGCCACAGTCGCCATAGCCGCATGATTTTCAGTGAGTCTGACATTGGGAATACCCCCGTAGACGGGGCCATCTGGTCTTCTGAAAGCAACTCACTCTTGCTCAAAGTTTGGCCATGTGTGGCTGTGCCCTGCTTTTGCTCAAAAGGTCGCATGGTGGGACTACTCGGTGCTGGGGAGATGGGAGACACGGTTCCTTCGCACAGCGCGTCTTTTCATTCCTGTTTGGACTTCGATCCGGATGGTTCACTTTGAGCACAGCACACCACTGGAGCAACTCATTGAGAGTAGCACTGTAGGTGGCAAAAGAAGAAAAGGACCCTCGTGGTCATGAACCCCATGAATCCTTTGGAATCCAACCGTTAAAACGGCGCGTGAGCATCGATGGGGGTCTTGAAGGTCATTTCTCTCGACATCTGTCACAACACATCACTAACATGACTGCTCGTGCAAGTCACCCAGAACTTGTTGATGTGCAAACACATGGATATCAACCGGAAATCATGTATACCACAGTCCCCACAGTCGTGGTGTGTTCTTGCGAAAACGTCGAAAACGCGCTGCGTGTCTTGCAGGGTGTCTCCAGCCCTTCGCTTGCGTCTCTTGAGCCAAAGCCTGCACGAGGGTTCGCTGGCTAAACGGTTCTTGGTGTTAATGTCTTTCTTCCACCAACCGTGTTTGGAAGATCATGGCCTTCAAAGAGGCCAACAAATTCAATAAATTCCATCAAAAGGAAGGTTGCATTCATCCTGTCTCAGAACCTCCAATTGGGGATTGGGAAGTGTGTCGAGATCATCTCATGCAAGTGTTTGTATTCCCTACGCCCAATGATGACATGGTTGGTGGATGTTGGTGGTGTCTGGCCATGTTCAGCGGTACTTGGGGAATCAATCACATCTGCAATTCGTGACTTTGAGCCCTTACGAAATGCAATGCCTCCCGCTGCACCTGCATGGATTCCTTCATAATCACCAGCTCTGCTTTTCGTATCCTGGTCCAATTTTTCAACGAAACGAAAACAGGTCGGACTGGAAGCTCAAACATGCGGGTATCTTGGTGACAGGATCCCCTCCAGTTGAGCCCAAGAAACCACATCAACATGCACATAAATGATGTTATGAAAATTGGATCCTGCAGTTTTGTCTAGACATATCAACAAAAAGAACGCGTCCTCACAGTTCTTGTTTTTTATCGTTCCGGTCCACATTGAAAAACACTCATCCGGTGACACTCGCTCTTGAGGCACTCAGGGAGCGCGAGTTGCTCCTCTTCAGCATGGAGGACGGTAAGGGCAAGCCAGGAGCTCCACGCCGTTTCCCCTGCCGCGGTGGTTTGGACCAAGCGCAAACATATACATGTGTGTTACATAGTATATATGTTATACAACATGTTAATTATGTATTATATAGTATTATCCCGGCAAGAGACCACAAACAGTGTGTGTGAGGTCTATAAGCAGAAAGTCTAGAGATCTAGACGCATTGGGGTCTTCTGTCACTAAAGGTTTCCAGCAGCCATCGCGCTTCAGTAGTGCGGCCAACAAAACCTTGTCCCGGTTCCTTCATCTCCAAGACACTGTATTGGCCCATCGTGCCCGTGAGGTAGCCAATGAGCTTGCCCAGCTTTCGCAGGCTGCCTATTGTTGAAGCCAACTCCTGGTCCTTGGTGGTGTAGGACACGTCCGGCCTCTCTTGGGAAAGATAGCCAACGAACGATATAAACTTGCCAGCTCAGGCTTGGCTTGAGCTCCACCGTGCCATCAGGCTCCAACACTTGGCCACATGGAAGCTTCTGGAGTTTCGCTCTTCCCATCTTCTCCTCGTACTAGGTCCTCCTCAAGAACTGGAAAGAACTGCCATGACCAGTCAAGCGCTGCTCTGCAATCTCGAAGCTCATCTTGATGTCGGGGATGAACTGGTCCATCAGGTAGCCTTTCTCGCTTACAAACATGACATCGTCCACCTGGATCAAGAACATCCATCTTTTGGCCCAAGCGTCCCAAACAGGGGTCGATTTGGGAGAAAGTGAATCCTTTCAGCTTCAACCAGTCTGCGAGGTACTCAAACCATGTTTTCGAATAAATTTTCTGGCCTGGAAGGTTGCGCTTGACCTCGAAGTGTCCAGTGGCTGCGGCATCTTTGATGTCCAATGCTCCAAGGGTGTAAATTGGCCCACCATGCTCTTCCTCCTTATGTAGATGGCTGGCAGCACCCTCAAAGCTTGTCCACCTGTTGCTGGACTATGCGCATCATCTCGTCGATCTACAGCATATTCGCGAGCGACCAACCTCGAGCGTCGAAGAAACTGCTTCGGTGCTCCTGGTTCTTTTGAGCTTGGCTTGGCCCTCCAATCTCTCACGAACCTCGTAGTGAGATTCTCGTGGCCATCAAGTTTCTTCTCGAGGCGCCAGTACTCCAAGTTTCTCCAGGCGCTTTTCCTCAAGCTCATCAGCCAAATCATCAACCCACTTTGGTGGATCAGGAGGTATTCGATCTAAAGGTGCATTTGACCAAGGCGTTGGGGATATCAAGAGAGGCTCCTCCTCCTCCTCTTCATTCTCCTGGCTCCAAACACTCCTCCTCCCCGATGATGTCATCCATGAAGTAGGAGTCCTCTCCCACCTGTGTGGTCTCAACTCTCCTCTCCATTCAACCTCTTGGGCTCTGGCGTTGAGGCCTCCGGCATATGAGTGGCCTTCTCCACTGTCATCTTCATCTGCTTGGTTTCCGCCTCCATGTTCTCCGGAGCCATATAGTCTTGTAGGCTGTAGTTCTGGGAGTTGTTGGAGGCTGTGGAGTAGATTGTCGAGGATATGATGGACCTGCCTGGTTTCGACTCTCGACGATGGCATTGGGGTTCGTCACCCTCAACTCGATCAGGAATCCTCTTGCATATAGTCCTTCTTCTTGTCTCGGCCAACTGTTTCTCTGCCGGTCTTTGGCCTCCTCTCTTTTCCAGCATAGGACTTCGCAAAGGCGAGGATCTCCTGCGCGTCCACATCATCTGGCGCTACCCCTCCACTTGGTGGTAGTGCTTGACTCATTGGCACGCCAACCATCGATGCCACGCGCTTGGATGGCACAATGCGTCCTCCAAAGTTCTGTTGATACTCCCAGCTGTAGGCTGTATATAAAGCCACAGTAGCACATGAGGTTCTTGTTGCTCGCTCCATCCTTCTCAAAGATCTGCACAAGTAGACTCTGTTGGCATCTCCAATCACCCAATTGTCCTGAAGTTCGGTCTTCCCCATGCAGGTAGATTCCCCACTTGGGGTCTGCCTCGAAGCCCTGCTTGGGTTTGCAGTAGGCTCCAAAGTTGCATAGCTTGCTCTCGTAGGCCCGACCATGTGCCAACTCATAGCTGGTAGAGCCATGGAAAGGCTGGAACTTGTTGATGAGCCATGCACTGTGCCCACAAGCCCAACTCCAGATAGGATGCTCGATCTGCTCTGCCAGGCTCTCCATCAAAGTAGCCAGGCTCCTGATCCCATTGAATGGCATTCTCAACCAATCCATTGCCAGCTGAGTCATAGATCGTCGTCCTCTCGTAGTCTTGAGACCCATAGTGCATGAGGGGGCTGCCACCAAGAGCTTCAAGATCTGTCGCAATGTGGGCTCGTTGTCGCCGTAGTATTGAACCTCCTCATGGCCTAGGACCTGAGTAAAGGCCATGAGCTCGTGCGTAATGAGGCTCATCTGGTTCTTGGACTTCAAGGGAAGGTCCAGCAAGTATCCTGTCTGAGAGCAGACTGCCACAACAAGCAATGCTCCCCGTTCTACTTCCAATCCTGCCTGCGCACCACCTCCTTCCTCCTCATCTCCAATGGCCAATGGCGCCTGACCCGGAGGCCTTCACATAGCAAAAGTCGAAGGGGATAGTTGGACATCCCTGCTCATAACCTGCCAGTGCGCCGATGTTGATCTTGTCGAGCTCGATGTGCGCCGATGTTGATCTTGTCGAGCTCGATTTTCAACCATGAGGTGCACCAGGCTGCATAAGGGCAAATGCGTGAGCTCATGCTGCCTCCTCTCTTCCACCGTAGGTTCTCTGGCCGTTGATTGCTCCAATGCGATCCTCTGCTCCATAGCACGGCCTTGCGCTGCAAGGTCTCTGGCCATGAGCAAGTCAAGCTGATGTTGATGCGCCATCAGCCTGCTGAAACATTTCTGCTTTCCCCCGCTTTGGCCAATCCTATAGAAGGCACATGCTGCTCTAAGACTGCGGAGGGGACTGTCCAAGGTCAACACCACGCCATTCACCTGCACTTGCGAGGGAACTGCCACACCAACTTCAAATCGTGCTTCTTGGTCTTCCAAGCCAACACCATAGTTCAGATCTCCTCCCAGGGCATCAACACCCTCGATCTCATCATCATCTCTGGCCTCAAATGTCTCTGAAACTGTCCCACTCTGGGCAACGAATGTCATCACCCTGCCCATCTCCGCCTCATCTCTTAGCTCCTCAATGAGCTCCTCCTGCTCCCATAGGCCATCCAAGGGCTCAGCCATCTCAACCAGCTCCCAGTGACCACGGCGCTCCGCCAAAGTCGATCTGCAAAATAGCCATCACACTAATTCTTGAACTCCGATACGAATTGTGGTGTCTGATAGTGGCGACTTGAATGAAGTCCCAACCAAAGCTCTCCTTCTTTCTGCATCCATAGTGGCCCACTGCCATCTTCTGTAGCTCTGGACTGAGCTTCACCCTCAGCATGCGAATTGCGCCAGGTTCTTGGATCATCCTGATCTGCGCTCGAACCACAAGGCTCTACCAAGCTTGAGGCATTGCGCCACCATCAATCGACCACCCTGTCTTCAGCAGGCGACCAACCACAAGGCTCTACCAAGCTTGAGGCATTGCGCCACCATCAATCGACCACCCTGTCTTCAGCAGGCGACCAATAGGAAAGGATGGGTTGAATCACGAGCTGTGAGAAAATGACCCGCTCCTTGATGATAGTTTTTCTGCCATCCTTGGAGTCCATCACAATCACAATGTCCACGTCCCTGCGGCCATAGGTCTGGATCTTGGTGCCCTAGGCATCCTGCAAGTATGGGCTCGTGCCTTTCGTTGGAATTCCTTCATCAAGTATCCCAGGAACGGCCAAGCATCTGCTCCAGAGTCGACGATCACGCTGACCATCTCCTCATCCTTGTCCATATCGCTCTCGCCACCACTGTGGTCAACCTCCATTGGTACCGGGCCTTGATCTGCCCCTGATGATGTTGGGCTCGTGAAGGACAATGCAGCTGCGTCATTCCACTTCGTCGTGGCATTACGATGGCTTCTCGAATTTGAGTATAGGTCGAACCCTCGTTCAACGTGAGGTTCAGGTGGATCTTCAGCTGGCCTCCAACTGAGCGTAGAAAAAATGGCAACTTTCAGGACTCCACTTGCCTCCCAGCTTCTCGTATTGGTGGAAGTGCCTCCAACTTCAGGATTTGAGGAAGCAGCGAAGTCTTCATGTTGAAGCTGGGGTTGCATTGGGCTGACAGTTGCTGAGGAGTTGACGAAGTGCCTCATAGCCGTTGAAGTTCTCCACATTCCTGATCAACCCAACCAAAGGGCCTTGCACCAAGGAGGCTATAGAGGGCTGCTGCTCAGCTGATGAGAGGAGGTCCCAATCCAGCTCAGTTGTCAAGTGGCCCTCAATGCGATCTACCTTGTCCTGGTAGGCTCCATCCACCACCAAAGGTATTGCTTGAAGCCCCAATACCAATCACGCCACAGCAACACTTCCTGCTCTCGATCCAAGGGGTTGAAGCTGTTGGGACGATTAGCCAAGTCACGCTTCAATCCTCCAGCTGTCACTCCACCTTCTTGTCCTTGTTGTCCCTGAACCACATGCACCGTGGCCGCAGCCTGAGCTGCCTGAGAGGCAGACTGGGCTGCCTGCATCAGAGCATGTGTGAGCTCCAGCACTCTTGCACCAGCCATGGCCATCAGGCCAGGATCAGAGCCATCCATCGTGCCGCCAATCTCTTCCTCAAGGGCGTTCTCGAAGATCTCGATGTAGGGCCGTCAGCCAGCTCGTCAAACTCAAGGGTGTAGGCAAGGGGGTAGTCGGGGAAGCGGTGAACACCAGGGTCAGGTACCCACAAGCACCGAATGCCACACCAGTTTTTCAAAAACAGTGCGGGCACTGATCAACACCGGGGGCCGATGTGGGGTATGGGTCGGCTGCCGCCCTGGAGCTCGAGGGAGAGGACTAGCCAATCCCTGTCACGGCTCCGCTACCATGCGGACAGCCATTTGAACGCGAAAGGGGTCTGCAGTATGTGGTCATGTTATGACTGGAGTTGAGTGGATTGCATTTCACACACACATATATATATATAATAAGATAATCCTGCCTCGGCTGCAGCCTGAAAGAATGCTAGGTTGTACGTATAACCAGCATGTTTAGCTGCATGGCAGGTGCTAGGCTTTTTTTTTGGGCCTAGGCGTTTTGTGAGACAAACCGATGCATTCGGAATACCATGGTCACTCTAGCTGTACCCCTCACTGTGCACATTTATCCCTCACTGTACATCTGTAAGTGCTGACAACTTCAATTGCGCACTCCACAGAATATATATATATACATTTTGCAATCCTCACAGAATACATATATTATATACTGGCTGACTTCGATCTGGTTGATCTTGAACTGGTTTGATCTTGAAATTGATCTTGAACTTCAAAGTCACGCATTTATTTCAATTTCTTGCAAGTCCACGCCCATTCTACGTGCATTTGCAGTTAGAATATAGTGATGCGTAGAGGTAGCCCAAAAATCCTGACTAATTATGGCGGTGGATTTTAATGTTTTGGAATTAGTCAATCTCTAAACTCTAACTGCTTTAGTCAATACTCTGACTGCTAGCTTTCTGTTATATTTGTTTCGTTTTTGCTGAGGTGGCCTTGCTCAGGAGCGAACGCATGAGTGCATCAATCTCCGGAACGGGCCAAAGGCCACAAAGAACATTAGCTGCAATTCCGGACAATTCGACCGCTGTGGAACCGTTGTTGATCCCTATCACACCGGACTCTACGTGCGGTCTTTTTGTGATATGTGTAAAGGACAGGATACCATATTATCACAAACAAAGGAACAGCTATATAAAAAATTTCCCCATCCTCAAATTCTAAGGATTGGTTCTACTTCCACTTCTTCCAATAAGTCAAGGCCCCAAACCGGCCCAGGTCGAACCAGGTCCCAACCCTCCGACCGGTTTCTCGGTCTCGCTTCGGTCTCCTGCAGGGTGGCGGTCATCGGATTGGACGGTGAGGAGTTCGCCTCGCGGGAGGACGGCACCTGGCGCTTTGCGCAGCGCAAAGCGGTGGGGGGGGGCACCATGGGTGGTGGGTCTGAAGCAAATAGTACACAGTACATACACTGCCTGAAATCATGGAACTGGAACAAAAACAACCTGGTCATCCGAAATTGGGGCCATTGTTCTATTCCCGTGACAACGATTATTTCACAAAGGTAAGACTGCACTTCTTCTTTGTGTTCTTTCTGTCTCTCTCTCTCTCTCTCTGGCAGTGTATATCTGGTTGCAAGCTGTTCACTTGAAGTGAGTGGATCCACTCGAAAACCAAAAGAATCCCACGGAGGAAGTCCCTGGTGACTGATACGTTTTGCAGTAACCTTCCTCATGGGATTTCATGAGAACAGCACCCTCTTCACAAGCTGCTCGGTGATCTTGGATGGTGGTGTTGCCAGATTGAATCTATCATATCTGAGCAGCCACTAGTGGCAGCAAGGGTTGAAAGCTAACAAAGACACCGATTGGGAGCGACTGTACATGTGTCGGCCAAAAACCTAAAATAGCGCGCTTGAAGTAGAACACCAGTCAAACCAAAAATAACGCCATCTTCGGCACAAAAAGGGCGACCACCAGACGCAATGTTGCTGCATCCCCGCCATCCAGAACCTTGCTGTGATCGAATTGTAAACCTGTTGATAAACGAAAACAAGATGCAACGATTCTGGTAATGGATGGCATCCGGGATTTTAGTATATCTAATCAACATCTGTCGAAATCCTCACGACTTAGAGTCAGGATCCGGACGAACGGAGTCTCCGCACGAACGGAGTCTTATCCCACGGATGGCGCGGCGCATCGCTTCGCGCCGGCAAAGCCGCGTCGCCACGAAGGTGACGGGTCTGACGACTCAACTGTTGCCGGTGACGCCACGAAGAAAGGATCCGACTTCAGAGAGAAGTGGAGGAACTCGGCTAAGGGGCTCTCTGCCAACCACCGAGTGTCATCCTGAAGGGCAGAAAGGCAAGGTGAGAGGTGCTGGCTGATGTGCGCTCATATGCATTCATCCAGAGTCTCGCAGTAGAAAATAAATAGTTCCAGAGATTGTGCTAATCTTGTTCTTTTGAAGGGTGGTGAACATTGTTCTCAAATTATTCATTCAATTGTGAAGCGGATGGACCATTCGCCACTACTCTGACTTTCTCCCTTGCACAAAGGAGGTTCTATGTCGCCCTGCCATCCACAGGGAACGATTTCAAAAAGTCCAGTTCCACGTGCTTCCAATGGCAAAATCCTAATAGATCATAGATCCTAATAGTGATCTCAACTGACTGCCTTCAAAAGTAAATCTGTCATGTAACATTTTTTTTTAAGTATCAACAAATGCCTTGTCAAGTCGCCGATCTACAACCACTAAACAACAAATTTTCAACATTTATGTCACTCTCCGTTTGATGGCGATGCTCTGTTTTTCGCAGAAAGATCCCACACCCAAAGGGTCCATCCAAGGGTCCATCCAAGGGTCTGTTCTGCACCGCTCTGCACCGCCCGGTCGGTCTCCGCATGTCTCGGAGGCCTTCATGTTGATCAAGTAATGTGGATCGAGCGTCATCCCTCGGCGAGAGGGAGGTGATGGCCACTGTTTTTCGAGTCATGCTGGGAGTCGGCCGAGGGACAAAACATGTTCCTAGGGCTCCAGTCGTACCGAACCTCAGAAGGTACGACTGGACCCTCCTGGCACCTACATAACAGTGTCTCCAATCACCTTCAGAGAAGGTACTTGGATCCCTAGCTATATGAAACAGTGTTTTCAACCACGATATGAATAAGCTTCATGTGTATAGGAGGGCGTAGGGGTTGTAATGCAGCACTTTTGGTGTGAGCCTGAGCGAATCAGCCTTTGGTGTAGATCTCGGTGGTCGCCGTATCATTAAAAAAAAACACAATGGCTGCACCCAAACAAAGACTGGGCACATGCATGCAACCTCGCGCACCAATGCACCAGTCACTGCAAGAAAACAGACCACACGTGAGCAAACGTTACATTTCTATACATTTCTGAGGGTCACAATTGACAGAGTTTGGTTTAGTACCTTTGAAGAGGTTCACCATGGACAACCCTCCCGGTCTCCATTGGGGACCTCTTAGTCCAGGCTCCTTAAAAGCATGTTCAATCATTCTTCTGACCAATTAGGTCTTCCGTTGAAGAATCGCACAGATGTTCAAACAACATGTCGAGTCGTGTCATGCTGATGTGAAGAGAAACCTATGGCACCATGAAACAAAAAGCAGCCAAACCGCTATAGAGGTTTCTAAGTGCTACAGTCACCTAAACTCCAAAAGCACTCCAACGCACGACTCGCACGACGACCTCTTTCTCCACTCCAAACGCCACGAGTGACTCGGAGCTAACCTTTCATTAACGAGGCGAGGCTCAGGGCCACCGCCCGTCACCACCGGTCCCGACACCGCCGGTGACATGATCCTGGGACAACATAGAACGGAACTTTCTGCCTCTTCATGTTTGGTTCAAATCCTTTAGACATCTTTAGACAAAAGGATACAAAAGGTTGTCCATGGTTATCCACTGACTGGGTAGGTTCTTTTTCAGGCCCAAAATCGGCCAAGGAGAGGGGCTCATCAAGGTCGTCCATCCGCTTGACAGAGGCTGTCACCGCGACCCGCGTCGGCTAGACAGCCGACGCAGGAGGGTCCAGTACGATGTTCGATCGAAGGCTCTCGTGACGGTCAGCTGCGAACGCGAAGGGAATGTTCCAAGTTTACATTCCCAATGCGAGTCGTACCGAACCTAAGGTTAGGTGAGGACGGAGACACTGTGATGTAATGTATATAGGTTTCGAGGGTCCAGTCGTACCAAACCTGAGGTTCGGTATGACTGGATCGGTAGGGATTCATCATCTGCAAAGGTGAGATTGAAGGGAGCTCTGGCGGGAAGCTCTGGCGAGAAGTGGCATGATCCCGCAAAGCTGCGGACATGAAGGTCGGCTATTCACGACGATTCCTCCTACCTAATCCTACCTGGGTCCTCTGCCTGGGTCGCCAGAGGTAAACGTGCCACACCTGAGATCTGGAGAGATGCAGCATGAGCCACTTGGATACTAAATGTGTGCCTTGCCTTGAGTCATGGAACACAAACTTTTCCTCAATCATGGAAGCGGAACTTAGGCTCGTGGAAGACCCTCCTTCTCTACAAAAGGCTTCGGCTCAGCTTCCATGATGGTCTTTTCAGGTGTTTGACCCATTCACAAACTTTCAGACCATGTAAACGAATGTAAACGAATCATCAGAACCTCTCCCAGTTTGTTGCAGGTGTTTGCCACCTTGGTCGGGTCGTCTTCTGCCTGTCTTTGAGGCGAAAAGCGGCTCCTGTGGTCCCGGTCCGTCCTCCTGCCTAGCGCTCTCATCCCAAGGTCTTCTTGGAACGAATGGGGGGCGCTGTGGTGGTGACTTGCCTGGACTTCTCCACGGGCAGCCCAAAGACTCCAGGGGAAAAAGGCGTAAATACCGATCGTTGCTGGACATGTGCCAATGTGGAAGGTGTGGTGCAAGCTATTTTTTCATCTAAAAAAGATCGTACTAGTACAACCTGTTGTTCCCTTGTGCTGGTATATGGGTGCTTCTCTGTATCTTTGTAGAAGATCTGGAGGCTGACAGGGATCCCTAGCCAACGAACAAAAGAACATTCATCCTGCTAGCAGTTGTATTCCTTAAAGGCTCGGCTCGCATGTCTTCAGTTCCTTCCCTTCCCCGAAGCGTACCCAAGCTCTCCCAGGCATCTCAACACAGGATTCCACACGATTTCGACATCGATGGTCATCGATGGTCTTGGGTTTTCACTACTGTTACATGTAGTCTGGTGTCACTTGCATCAACTTGCTGTTGATATCGTCCCGGTCTAGAGCTGATCGATCTGACGAAACATGAAGAAGGACACCTCTTGCTCGCCGAAACCCCTCTCTTTGTCTACGACGGTTTCGGATGACGCATTGTGCGCACTGGGCCCGAATTCTCCAACGACCTGTGCCAACTGGAAACGAAGCACAATAAATCCAAATGTCCTGCTTCAAGAATCTTTGACACATGTGAATATTGTCTTCAAACTCTTAACTTGATCTCTGAGCGCTTTCTTAAGGTGAAGCCCAAATCTCTCCACTCAGCCCACAGCTCACGACTTTCACTCGCAGAAAACCAACCTGGCACGACTCTGCCGTGAAAACGCTTACAACATCCAAGCAACATGTAGTTATTTGCATATTAATATTGACACCCAAAAAAGAAGCCCCAAAAAGCCCCTCACTCACCAAATCCACAACTCCTTCCAGCCGGCAGCCGCTTGTTTCTACAGCACGATCGACTTCCGTCATCGGCCGGCTCTTGATAGAGAGACCGAACCGCCGGCGTTCCGACCCCCCTGGAAGAAGGGAAATAGACCCAACTCCCCTTGGGCCAGGGGCCTCCCCATAAAGTTATTACACACCCATACTCTTTTCAGACCCCCTTCTTGAGCCGTTGGGTGACGTGACCCAGGGCACTGCGGTGCCAAACTTTGCCGTTCAACGCGACGCCGTGGCCGGAAAGAGTGACCACTTGACAGTCGATTCGACGTCAGTCTCAGTAGATGTCATGTGGACTGTTGATGAACAACACACCCAGATGAAGACAGTTGAAGATATCAAACCATTCTGGTACGATCTGGTACGGGTGTTCTGTTCATCTAGAGTCTACATACTTGTTGTCGCCGAAAGATATCAGTTTAAAGAGGGTTGATGTCAGCTCCAGCTTGAGATCCTCTTCATTTTCCGGAGTCGGCCGACCTCGCCTCGCCTCAGGTGTAGTGCGGCTCACTCATCTCCGAGGCCTCCAACGGCAGGGCGACGATTCGGCAGGTGCTTTTCAGTCTTCCAGTTGCGATGTCTTTCGGGGGAAGAAGGATGGGTTGGCGTATCCCTAGGGCTCCTGGCCCACATTTTGTGGCACCAAGCACCGAAACAGAGCTGCCATGAGTTGTGCAACACACCATGAGGGTGGTGACCGGGTGCGTTCAGTTCAAGTGACTCAGGGCTGTGCTGCTCGGTCCAGACGTGCTGTGCGTGCTGGGAACCTGCGTGGGGGCCTTTGGGAGGAGAACTCCCTGGGATTATACAGAATTGAAGCCGAACACCAAGGTACACCCCATGGAATCATCCTGGGGCGTCGTGGAGTGAGTGGTTTTACCACCTGTTTGGTATTGGGATGTATTGGGATTTCATGGTCATCCGAACTTGGGGCTATTTTCTCATCCACCTCACCATGACGATTCCAAGGTCGCTGGAATCTCTGAGCCGAAAACCTCGCGTCGCCCCTCCGACCGGTCTCAGGTTCCCCACCTTGCTTTCGCCCAGCTTGTTTAAGGCGGCAATCTGGAAACGGTATTCGCCTGAGGTCCAACACGGCTTTCGCTCGCTGCATCATCCCGCGCTTTCGCTGGCTTTCGCTCGTGCCACCCCCCTAAAATCGATGAAAAAGGAACCCCTTCCAGTGTTGAAGCCTTCTTCGATATTCTCCACAACGAAACCTCCTGGGTCATTCCGAATGGCCACACGTGCACCCGCACGCTTGCCGCGGTGTTCGTCCCAGTCACAAGCGCCCGCTTCCAGAGGCCCGACCCAAGCATTGTACATGGCCGCATCACCTGTGCGTGGGTGAAGCCGCGCCTCTCATCCACCCGCCCCTGTTTGTTTCATTCAAGAGACCCATGTCTTTTGATCTCTAGAATTTTCACCCACCCAAAACTTTTAGGCCTTGGTGACTCCATTGGAAGCAGTATGTTTTATAGTTTGAAATGTTTGAAATACTCGTGAGCAAGTTGTTCCAAAGGCTCTCACTTGAGCCAAGTAAAATCTGAGTCCTGCACATGTTGACAGTCAGGGCCGTCAGGGCAAACAATTCCAAGCATGGGGGTTCAGTCAGCTAATCGTCGGCAGTGGGAACTTTTGTGGTGCATCACCTGCTGGTGTCTTGCTCTATCTCATCGGTCAAGGCTCGAGCCCGGCCCCAAGAGTGACATCAGTGTCTGACTCCCATCCGTGGTGGGGCACCTGCGGCAGCCACTGACCCCATTTCCACCCAGGAGGCAGCGGCTTCACCCGGGCCGAAGGGGTTCCAACCTGCGGCAGCGGAGCTCTTCGATGCTGGCTTTGGAAGGCCAGCATAAGACTGTGGACTGAGACGATTGAGAAGAAAAAATAAACCTGACCCCCCTGATGTCAAAACCTCTTCACAAAGGGATTTTTTATATATAATCCAGAGTCCAGAGTCTACGTTTTGTGGATATATGTGGTTCCGTTGCACTTCCTCAATTCGGCGTTCCGATCCCCTTGGAAGAAGGACAAAAACCGGCATCAAATCTCCTTGGGCCAGGGGGTCTCCCATTGGGCCAGGGGGTCTTCCCTTGGGCCAGGGGGTCCCCATGCGTTGTTTTCGATTTCTTGTGTACGTCAAGCCAGGTGGATCTGCCAAGCCGGGCCCGAAAGCACCGATGCTGAGCAACCGGCCGGGGGGGATGGCCTTTTGCAACCTGTTCAGTGAATGGTCCCCATGTTTGTCATCAAGTTGGTGACAAGTCACAACCTGCGATCCCTGGGGATCGCGATGAAATCCCACGAAAAATCCCTGGAATCATCATGGAATGGAAGTGGATGGACCACCACCAGTTTGGTATGCAAATTTCATGGTCATCCTTGCTGTGCCGTACCATTCACTTCCTCAGATTGAACTTGGGACCTGAAAATGGACCGAAGAGTGGCTTCTTCCACGAACCAGTTGTTTTTCCATGTGGGTCTCTTCCAGGGCGTACTTCCACAAAGACAACTCCCTCCAGTCTTCCCTTGTCGCTGCCAGGTGGCGTGATGCACCTAGAATCTTCCGCATGCGGATCCTGCACGTTTCAGAACAGAGAGAGGTCTGGTGTCACCCCACAGGTCTGGTGGCTTTTTCATGCCAAAGATCATAGGAACCTGCATCCAAACATCCAGACTTCATGAAATCGAACATATACAAATACCTGTCAATTTTTAGTGGAATTCTGAAAACGAATCCGTTGGGCAATGCCAAAAGCGCCAATAATTTCTCTTGAGATTCATTGGCTGCTCTGAGTCATTCTCCGTGAGTATGTCCAGTGCAGCAGCAACAGTCGGTGTCTCGCGGCGAGACACCACTGCAAAGTAGAACTCCATTGACATTGGCTTCCCCACAGCCACATACTCTCGAATTCTGGGTCAATGCTTCGGGGTTCAATCCGACGATGGAAAGCTCGATGGTGAAGCCCCAAACTTTGTAGACATTCTGCAGTAGACATTTCCTTGAACTCAATTGAAGCAGGATTTCACCATGGTGTGATGTCCAAACCAACCAACTACAGCTCAAGCGTGAGTGGCGCATAGGGGGGTACTCCCATTTGCACTCTGAAATGCTGCTTAAAGCCGAGTTTATAACAAATCCCCTTCTCCCTAGACTTGGCAAAATGTGTTATTAATTCCAAGAGTCACCCCCAAACTTTGAGCGACCGATCAGCTGGTGACCAAATCACATGGGGGGTTGTAGAGCGCCAGTCCTGTAGGCGGTGATGGGCATCCTTGGCAAACGAACGCCAGGAAATATACCCTCTTTTTTTTGTTCGACCATTTAACAGATGTTGACAATGGTCTGAAAAGTAACATCTTTAGTAAAACAATGGTTGTTAGTTCTGAAAGAACCATCCAATTGTTGCTGGAATCCCAGGGTATATGTATATACTTACTGGAGTTCAAGCAGCTAAGTGCGTGACAATCACACTTGTCATACCAGAAAGTCAGCGGCAGGTGTTCTGCATTTTCCCACTGAGATTGAACGATCCCACCCATCCAGGTGGGAACCAACCTGGAGACCCTGCTGATACACCAAGGCTATCTAGGAAACCTAAAGCTTCCAGAACTTAGTGAGGCACCTGGCGCTTGGAAGTCCTTGCACAGCAGACCTGCCATCCTTCACCGAGCATTTCAAAAACTCCTTGAGCCCATTTGAGCCCAAAAAAGAAGGCACATGCTGCAGGTGCCCCTGCTGTACCGTTTCAGGGGCATGATTTGGGGCTCTGCGATCTACTCTCAAGCAACTGCATGGTACCCTCCGAGGGCCTCCACTCCAAATGGATCCAAATGGTTGTTTAAACCTTTGGGGCGGCCCTGACAAGCATCTAAGATAAAAATAATCTATCATCTACCTGCATCTACCTGAAACAAATCCAAGGACGGAGCATGTTATGCTATGTTCACTGTAGTATCACCCTGTTTCCTCCCTCTAAAGCCTTTCAGCGGCGCCCAACTCCGTTTCGTGGCAGCTTTCCTTGAAGACCGCCAAGGCACCCGCCATCATTCTCAGGCGAACTCCAGGCCACGTTCAAACAGCCATCTCTGGCTTCCTGCCAAGGCACCCTTCGTTGAGCTTGGGATGGGGATTGAAGCGGGCGATGGGCCGTGGAGGAAAACAACTAGGGACTATTTTGCAAAGAAGAGTGGCCTGGTTTGAGCGATGGAAACTGGGGCACCTACCCAACAAACAAGAGAGTGGATGTCGGTAGGGATTTGAATTTTGCCTTTCAAAGGCTTAAAACGATTGTATGTTTACAATATTTTACAGTTCTTTATGTATGCAATGGGCTCAAACACACAGTAAAACGCACTTGTTTGTTGGAAATCACTTGGGATCAAAAGACATTTAAAGGAAATCATTAGAAGGAAAAAGGATCTTACAAGGGAATTATATAATAGGAATCAACGTAATTATTGAATTCAACAGTAAAATCAACATATAAATAATGAACAATTAACAACATAGACATTATTGCACGTCGTGATATTAATAGTAGCAACATCATACCAGAGCAAACGTGCAAACAATATTTGAGGATGTACTACTTAAACATGGAAAAAAACGCAAACATTACACCAGGGGGTGCTACTTTTAACGCCAAGAAGGGATAACATTATTATTGCGGGTTATCGCATTCAAGGATTCTAGGGCTCTGGGCTACCTTCTTTTAAAGGACAGTCAATAGGAAGTAAACAGAATGTACAAAGAATTCAGAAGGGTTTTGAAGGAATTTAAGAGGAACTCAAATGAATGAACAGGAACTAAAAAGGAACACAATCAGAACCAAAAAGGAATTTAAAAGGGTAGGTATCAAACAAATCAAAAGGAAACCAACAAGAATCAAAAGAAACACAAGTAACTTAAAGGAAAATCACGTGGAATCAAACGGAATTTGAAAGGACACATAATTTCAAACCAAATGGTTTCAAAAGGAAATCAACAAAAAGCAAAAGGAATTCTAACAGAATATAAAAAAGATATCAATAGAGCACCCAAGAAAGTTTAAATGTTAAGGAGCCTTTTGGCGGGGGGCTTCAAAGAGTAGTATTAAAAAATAACAACAACGACAACGACAACGACAACAACAACAACACATTAAACATCTAAACAAAATAAAGCAATATTCGACGTTTCTGGAGGGTTGGCACCAAAGAGTCTCAGAACATGTTGTTTATGGTTTCTTTGTGCTTTTTTTTGTGTGTGTTGTTTGTTGTTCTTTAGTTATTGTGTTTTCTTTCCAAACAATATATATATATTTACAAGTTGTGATGTGTTTTTTTTTAAATATATATAATAGAGTGATGTTTTGAAAGATTGATTTGTTGTTGCCTTATAACACATCTCTAGGCCCATAAGGCCCTTGGTTTCTCACCACTTCTCAATACTTCGCGATGATTCACTGCCTTCGACTCGGTCCGCTCCGCATTCCGTCGGCGATCGACCGATCGACTCCGTCTCTCGGTCTCCTCGATCCAGGGCTTTCCAGGTGGATCGGGCGTGACCGGGGCAGTGGTGATCCTCAGAGGCGACCGCGAAAAGGGCCGAAAGCGAAATGGGCGACGCGTGGGCTGGCTCTGTGATTGCGCCCTGTGTTCCGTCTGTAGTGGACTGGCTGCTGTCTGTGGTGCGTGGATGCTGATGTCGAAAAGCCTTGGATCGAGTAGTGAAGCTTATACTTTTGGTGGAATATCATCAGTCATGTAATCACAAAAATGGCCAGGGCTACGAAGATAACGTCCCTCGTCACAAAATATCTTCAACGAAGCGAAACGAAGCGCCGAAGTGCCACATTAGAATTCCACCCGTCACTGAATGATTTGTCGAACACTTGACCACGAAAATGCTGTGAAGATCATTCATCCACCCAGACCTGGCCAAAGTATTCTACCCAAAACATGTGTCTTTGGTGGCTGTTCTTTGATGTCTAGAGCCTAGTGAGTCTAGTCTTGCATCGTCTTCTTTCTAACTCAGTTTGGTGAGCAAAAAACGCAAAGAAGAACTCCCAGCTGCGGCCGGCCCTTCACCAACAGAAGTTGTCCCTTCGCTCAGTGGCTGATATTCATAGGCATCACCATAACCCACCTGCATGAGAACGAAGCGAGCATCGAGGCGCACAAAAAGATCGGCGCCCCTCACGGACCCTTCATGTCCAAAGGGTTGGAAACGGGTCACGTGTCATGACTGACATGATACACTCCTGGCTAGTAACAAGCACGCACATGTACAAGGTGTCGCAGCAAATGAAGTAGGTGAGAACTAAAAGGGTCGGCAACACCAATTGAGTGGAACATAGTGGAGCAATCATATTTACCATAGAACATAGTGGCTCGGTGAACATCGAGAAAGATATGAAAACAACTAAGACTAGAAACCTTCTTGACAAAGCCATCATCCATTCGAACTTCCGGGCTGGAATATGCGATCCATCCTGCTCTTTTGATTCTTACTCATGGAGAAAAAAATAAGAAACTATTGCACCTATAGCGTCCTATATCCACCCTCCCAATCCGCAAAATTTGAATATGTTGCTACAGCGCTACAGCAGGGAAGAAAACCACACAGATTTGCACAAACTTACAGACCTTGTTCACGGCCCTGATGTCCAGCAGGTAGGCGGTGTTGCCTTTCAGATTGGCCACCACATACCTCCGGCATGAAACACAATGAACTACAGCCGATGGTGCCTGGCTACAGATGCTGTCAGGAAAAAATCGTATGACATATCACCTTCACTGGTGAAAAAAAGCCCTTGAACATCCTTGCAAGGTCCAAGTGGGCACATCTCAATGTACTGTACTATTTCTTGCAGTGGTTTCAGAGGTTCGATGGCACCCAGTGCCACACCCACAGCGCCGCACTCAGTGTCCCCAAGATGTCTTTCGGGGTCCAGATTTATCACAAAAAATGGGGCATTGTGCCATCTACTCTAAAGCCAGTGCAAATGATACCAGTAACGCCAAGCTGCACCGGATTCTTGCCACTGGTGCACTCACACAAGGTGTACCACTGTGGAGGCTCCTCCGCTGGGCAAACCGGGCTGAATCGATGGGAGCCAGCAGCAGCCCACAAGGAATTGAATGTCCTTCGGTGACTCGATCTGCCTAAACACCTCATCTACGGTGTAACTATAATACCGTACCGTACCTGCTTTTTCATGCACAGATCGACAGTACGTACATTGAGTTTTGGATGCAGGGGGGGTGCATATATTTTATATATCCAGTACATACCTACATGGACCCCTTTTCAACCATCCAACTGATCGGCAAATATGCCAGTCCGGATGGTCAGGAATTGGTGACCATCCGATTCAATGAAATCGGATCTGAAGAGGCTTGGACCTCCACGCAGCCAGCAGGTCAAACACCCGCAGCCGTGTGGTCGGATCTGAGGATCCACAAAAAAAACTTTCTCTCAGCCGATGTTTCCCCCGTGTCTTAGAGAACGACTGGTCATTACAGTCTATGACCTGGACTCTGTGGAGACGAACAGCAAATGTTTGGAGGTTGAGTCTACCAACTAGTAGGCCCTATTCACATCTCTCACAAGAAACTTTGGTGATCTCTTTCTTGGTACTTCCTTGAGGCTTTATTTGAATCTCCAGTTTAATCTCGGGTATATTCTAGTCAACCATCATCGTCCCATCCAACCTTAGAAGAATGGAGCTTCAAGGCGAGGCACGTTAGGCTTGGGATCCAGTAGGATAGAGATCCGATATCCAATCACCTGCGCCCCATGGTCATTCCTGGGCAGCTTCGCCGAGGCTTGGCCGAGAGAAGGAACTCTTCAAGTGAAGCCGATCGGGCATGGCAAGCCCTCTGAAAATGGAGTCGATTCGTGTGGTTTTAGAGTAAATGGCACTGGCATCCAAGATGTCTTTGAGATGGGGGTCTGTAAGCCACCTGTGGCGGATTGTGTCATCTGAAACCACTGTAATTGGATGAACGCAGGGCTGATGTGGCTGAGGTCTTTGGTCTATGCCCAAAACTCTGGCCAAGGGGTTGTCTAAAAGCTGACCTGGGGCTGGCGAGTGTGGCTAGCTTGTCCTTCTGTTGAGAGTCTTCTTGGCTGGTTCACTTTCCTGGAAGCATGGAATGAAGGCTTGTACATCGGGAAAGCACATGTTCCAACAACTTGTTCCTCAAACCTCAAATCATCAAACTGTTCAAAGAACTTGTTCCTCGAACCTGTACAATCAAAAAATGACAAAACACATACGACCTCCGGGCTCTGTGGTCCAGGCGATGAAAAGCAACATACGGTGTCGATCCTTGATGATTGGACAAACAACTGCCATGAATGATAAGGTTGTAGAATGTCCTATAAACATACAAAACAACTTAACCTATACACAAATATTATATTCTATATATTTATATATACATCATAGTATATTGGAATTGTAAAATATTGTATACATATAGTATATATATATATATTAATTATATACCTGAAGCAAGTTGCTGGTTCTTTCAACTTTCAGCATACGGTCATTCAGTACGGAGCAGGAATCAGCAGCTCACTTGCGACAATCATCTTCAACAAGCTCGTTTTCATGCGATCAGGAAATACACTGCCCAGGACGTGTCATCAACTGTGACGGTTCAACTCTACCGCTGCAAATCCATACATGCAAACCCTTCAGCCATTTTGCGTAAGATTTGGTCAACACATTTCTAGACTCAACCTGCCCACCTCTCACTGTGACCAGTCGCTTTGGCGGCGCCCATCGCACCGTGACCTCCGTCTGCTGTACATCCGCCACGTGTGGCTCTTCAATGGCAGCGGGCGTCGTGCAGGCATGATACCTCTCCGCGCGTGCGGCCGCGGTGGCCCTGTCTGGGCGCTGGGATTCAAGGTGGAAGGACCCCGCAGACCTTCATCTGAGCAAATCATCACTTTCCACATCTGTCCGATCTTTCCCAACTTGTGACGCTGTTCAGAAAGTGGCGCTGTGTTCAAATGATTTACTAGAACAGCGCGTGGCCGTGGTCCAAGATGTGCATGGTCGTCACCCTCCATGGCCGTGAGTCCAGCAACCCCTACTCACATCGACAATGGCAAAAAGGCTATTTCAGAGCCCTCAGGGCGGCTCGTATCGCAAGGGTCTGAGGCGTCCCAGGACACTCTCCTGAAAAACACCGCGGCGCGACAAGAACCGCGTCAACGCGTCCGAGGAAGCGTTCAAACCGATCCAATTTCATACGGCCTCAAGCGCATCTCAGCCACCCGATGACCTGGTGATGACTTTCTCATGGGATCGGTGAGTGGAGCTTTGGTAAACATGCTCATGTAGAGTTGAGGTGGCTTGGGGAGTTAACCTATATACAAAGTCAAACCATCCTGGAGCCCGGTGGTTGGTTGCTGTGCATGCAACAAATGAAAGGAGAGTGGACACTGACTTCCCCCCACCGACGCAGGATTGCTACCGAAGTCCTAGACACCTTAGGAATCCTTGGGGTCATGTCTCTTTCAGGGTGTACTTTGAAGGGTGCAAACTCAACAAAGCCACATCAAGCGAGCGGGATCATGCAGTAGGAAGGGGGTGGGAAGGGGGGAGAAGTCCCTGCAGCTCCCGAGCAACAGCATGCAACAGCTAGACAAACTAGGTGGATGTTGGATTTTAGATGTTCGGTGGCACCTGCCACACATGCCACACCTATCCATCCATCCCTTCACAAGCTGTGCCTTCCAAAATGTCGAAGATGCCCCAAGTGGTGGTCTTCCGTTGCAGTTTGAACTCTTGCAAGGGCGCCAGTGCACGCCTGGGTGCTTCAATTTGTGTTTTTCAGGCATCATATTAGTTGACACATGAGACAACACTTGGGACCCGAGCATGACATCTCTAATGTGCAAGCACAGGACGTCTAGCTGTTTGGCCCACATGCCTGATATCAATGTGCTGCTGATCATGCTTATCTGGCTTAGCTGTTCCGTGTCTCTGCTTTCGTCTCTGACAGACGCAAGGATACGACGTCAACGAAAGATTTCTATGAAACAGCTGCTGGTGGATGCTTTTCTCGGTTCAGTGGAAGTCTGGTCATGTGGTCAATGCGGTCATGCCGTTACACTCTGACTCACTAACATGGAAGTGGAAAACCACGTGTTTGTAGAGGAAAGTAGTCTTCCAAGTGACCATTGTCCACTTCCATGTTAGTGAGTCAGAGTGTACTTGTGTCGACTGGTTCTGAGATCTTCTTTCCATGTCTCCCTCTTTTCTTGCCCAAGGTGCCCCACAAGGGTGGTGTTCTGTGCGCCCATCAAGCCAGTCTTCGTGGCCCAAACGTAGGCCACTAAATAATGGTCCAGCTTCTCCATTGGAAGGCTCATGCTCTCCTGACGAGATCGTTCTTCCACGATTCCAGTCATGTCATGAGATCGTAACCGGATGGGATCTGATTGGCACAGTCGTCCCAACAACAGTGGCTTCCAAAAACAGGAAGTCTGATGTATGATACAAAGAAATGGTCCAGTCATCCATTTGCCTGCGAACGTGGGTCGTTTCATGCTTGGGTTGGCAAATCGATCGCAATCCGTGAATCGCTCATGTTACTCTGAGACTACAAAAGGATTTCTGATATGTGTACAACTGTGTATACATAAATATGTATATATATATATAATCAACTACTGACACAATTGTATAATATATAGGATTATAGTTATAATGGATTATATAGGTATGGTCTGAGTCAGTTCCGAAGGGGAGTATCCAGAAAAAAGGGGAATTCGCTCACCAAGAGTTCTCCTGAGATTGCGAATCCTGATTCCAAATCTACTTTCCAGAAGCCAAAAATCGTGTATCTATTGGGATTCCTTTCAGTCCTGAGTCGCAAGCAAAGATTGTCTGGCACTGGAATCTAGGGCTTCAAAACCAAACATGCAATGTTCCACACCCAGGACTGCACCCCACACTTTCCAAAACACCCACTCCGCACCCGCCAACGGCCTTCTGCACCCCTTTTGATGGGCTGAACCACTGGAAACACCACACACAGGTCTTTGATGCCTCGCCACTGACGATGCACAAGAGAACCCTTAAACTTTCCACCCGAGGGGGTTCCAGCAAGAAACTAGGTGCCCACCACTTGAACATGATCCCCACCTATCTTCTATGGGCAAAGCTTCTCAAACCTTGGTGCACAAGGATGAGCCTGCGACCACCTGTCATGCCGTCACTGTCAACCGTCCTCGAAGGATGCGACCAGATTTTGTCGAATGCCATCGCCCACCTGGAAGGAGCGGCGTCCACTGTTTGAAGGCCAGCGAGATCTCTAAAGAAGGTGTGCACTGGTGAGAGTGCATGGATGGGCGATGGGCACATAGCAACAACCACGTAGCAACCACAAGTCGGTTTGGAAAAAGATTCATCAACCGTGTGAGTGCTACGAACCACAAGTCCACAAGTTGTTTACAAAAGCCAAGTGTTTGTGCTTCGAGATTCGTAGCTTAGTCAAACCTCTGAAACTGACTGGAAAAGAAGAAGGAGAGGAAAGGGCGAGAAACACAATCAGTTTACTCATGGATGCTCAACCTTCTGTCCATATCGGCATTCCACGTGTCACGTTAACATCTACGGCGTCTACGTTCATTTTTCTCTGTCTGAACCGTAGAAGTCCGAATCACCACAGAGTCTCGAATCACTCGAATAAGCTGTTGATCCTCGTCTGAGTCTGGCTGGATCTTGGCAGATGGTCGTGTCACAGGTCTGGGAAAACAAAGAAACAAAAAACAAGCAGTATGTATCGTCCTGTATCGTCCTGTAACAGGTCAGTTGCAGCTTTTTTTCGTCCTGTATCTCTCTGGTCAAATACACGCTGCAACTCTTTACGAAAGCGAGAGTGTTTCAATAGGTGGAGAATCCGAACTCTTACGTGCGGACCGCGAGGACGAGGTCCGCAGACGCGGACCCGGCGAGCGTTGCGGACCTTGTGGCCGTCCAAAGGCTCAACCCCGGCAAGAACGCAGGTTCACACGCATGATCTCAAAGAATCCGACTGCTTGGTGGGGATGTTCAAAAAAAAACTAGCAACAATCATTGCAAAATACCTCGCAACCAATTCAATATATTCAGTCACATCATTTCATTAAAATAAGACAGTGTGTGTGTGTGTGTGCAAATATGTTACATTACACAAATATGAACGGCTCTTGAAACAGGAAGGGCAGTTCTTCGACTTCCTCTAGAGAACTTGAACGCCGTCTTTCCGCATGGTCTCCCCATGGTCTCCCGCCTGCAGTCCAGGTTCATAGGCGCGTTGCGCCTCGCTTTTCAGCTCTGTGATGACACGACTTGGATGTTTCAACTGCTTGGGGCTTGGGAAATCTGGGATGAAACTAATTGTTTGTCTATGTTTGTCTGTTCGTCGTTTCAGTGTTTTGTTGTCCCAGGTGTTTGTTCCCAGGTGTTTGGTACAATTTCTACTACACTATCTATTATGTGGGGGCCCCATCTCGTTTAGACTACTTAAGTAGGAGGTCAGACCACAGTATCTTGTTCAGACTATACTTTTGTGGCAAATCGCACTATCTCGTTCAGACTGCTTTAGTGTCATCAAGCAAAAGTATCGTTGACGTGGGGGCCCTATCTCGTTCACAAGCGAATACTGATGATAGACAAGAAAATAAAGCATGCCGTAGACTACTTTAGTAAAGATAGTAAAGCCTTCAAAAAAGGGGTTGCTCATGTCTTCTTGCCGCCAGTGCCAGCGACGACGCCCCGCCTGGGAGACCAGGTAGTGTCCCTCGACGCTTTGGAGCGGCGGATCGCGTGGGAGCGGGATATGATCGGGCTCCTGGCCGTTCCAGTCGAAACCGCCAACCCCCCCAAAACCCCGAGAATCTTCGGAGTCGCCCAAGCCACCAGTCTTGATCTTCGGCTATTTGGGCGAGATCCCAGACATTGATCTTTGATGGGCGGATGTTCCGCCGGCCCTGGGGCACGGCGTGTTTTGGGTAGTTGGGCTTTTGTTAATTCTTTGTTAAGCTATGTCTTGTCTGTTTTTGTGCTCCCCCGGGCGGATTTTTGAACGGTCTAACCTGACCCCCGCCCTACCCCCCCTCCCCCCCAAGAATATCCCGAACGTATGTAGCTCACATATATCATAGCTAAAGTGAAAGGTTGTGTGCGCTTCCTTCTTATCGTCGTTCTTCTCTTGTCGTTGTCCATGCATTGCGCTTCTGCTTTGCATGTGTTTTTCTCAGGTTTTGCACCTGCACTCACGTATCTATCGTTTTTGCAGACTCAGACTGCTTGGAAATCCCCAAGCCACACATGTCCTCATTACTCTCTTGTGTCATGTCTGACGGAATGCTATGTACCTTTGCTGCTTCGCACGGTCTACTTCGCTCATTGTGTCACATGTCATATAATTTGTCTTCTTGTTGGCAGGCTATACTTTGCATCCCCCAATTTCATCTCCCTGTTCTCTTATTGTATCATAATGCACGTAATTTCATGTAGGCTCCTCTGTTGCTCCAGCTGTGTTCTGGATGATGCTGTTACTTTTTCTGCTCTGTTGCAGTCTTTCCTCTTGACGCAAAAGGTAATCCGCATCTTGGGACCATTGGCTGAAAAGGCCGGCGGAACAACCCGCAGGGTGTACATATAGAAGAAAAGGATATTGTTGGCCAAAGAGTCAGGAGTTTGATTAACCTCGACCAACCTGGCAGTATCGATGGACACCACAAATGCGAACAGTCAGAGCCAGGGTCCCTTCATCATCTTCAATAAACTTGTCAGCAGGCCAGACACAGTGGGGACAGATTTTTTTGGAAAACAAAACAGCATGGACAGCCGGAGTGAAGTAGCATGAAATAGCTTTCCAATCAAAGCCAAATCCCTTGCGAAAGTCCTGAAATTCCAACACATCAATCCTGCTGATCTCTCTTGGTGCGCATGAAGTTTCCTGGACCCTCTGTTTTGACTGTTCAAGCCAAGCTTAAAGACAATTATTATATAAAACAAACAATAACACAAACTCCAACATCTTAGGTCAGTTGCTCAATCTTGGTGTTCAAAGATCTGTCTAGAGTCTAGAACATGAGTGACACCTGCTCTGGAGGCATTCACCAGCGCTCACGCTTCTTTGATCCTCTCCTCGGAACGGGGATGCAAGGAGACGAAGTACTTCAGCGACTCAAACCAGCCTGGCCATGCCAATGGCTGCCAATTCTCCGAATGGGTGCCTGAAACTCCACCGGTTGCCCTGGTTTCCATGCAGCTCAAAGAGGCCTGGTTTTAGATCCGGCGCGTCGGGATGTAACTCCAACTCCTCCAGCTCCACCTCGATCAGGTGCGGCCGCGCCTGAAACGTGGCGGCTGGGCAGGCAAGCGTGGAGGGCTCCAGGGCCGAGCAGGAGGGCTCAAGGGGGGAGATGGTGGGAAACATTCTTGCATAATTTTGAGTGCAGGCAGCACAAGTACAAATTCAATGTTCATTTGGGGTCCAAAGAAAAAGAAACATCAGGAGTTCACTTTCTGTTTTGAACATGTTCGGGGGAGCCTGAGTTCTGAAGAAGTAGTTTTTCTATTTTTATCTACGTCATGAGTCTTTGGAAGTACCGGTTTCCTGTTTTAGTGGCAATGGTTGATTTGCTGGGTGAGATTGGGGTGTATACTATTTGCACTTAGATAACTGGTGCGCAAGATCATATGGATGCATGTTCATTCATGCACACAAACTCTTGATTTTCACGAGCTAGGGCGCTTTGAGGAAAATACGTTACACATATATGCAAACATGCGCTTTTTACAAGGAAATCGCATGTCAGCATACTGTCGCAAAACGCGGCACACGATGAAACTGGCCTGGAGGTGTCTCCCTAAGCATCATTTCTGCTACGTAGATTCGATGTCTTTATAGTGAATGATGTCAGGATACTTAGCAGGTTTCTTGTTTTCCCACGTTTTCAGCGGACCCACAACTGTGGCACACGCGTTTCTTTCAGTCTTCTCGCAACATTCTTCACTGTCTAAAGGAGATTGGAGCCACTTCCCGCTGCACACACTCCATCTTAGGTCTTTGACCACGTTTGCAACAGCACTTCGTTCACAAACGCTTCCGCACTGCCCATGTTGTCAGAATGGCTCGCAGTCGACAGGCAGTGCCCAAGCCAGGATTCACCCGTGCCACTGCATCCAGTCTTCATTCACATGACTTCTAATGAACTGGCTGAACCATATCAAACCAAGTTTGTCTTAGCCCAAGGGGGCCACCTTTGTTTCTGTTGATGCCTTCGCTGCAACGCGCGTGGGTTGCAATCTGCTTGTTGAGGACCCGCAGATCGCACGCAAATCACCAAGACACAACACTTCACGACATCCTTCTAAGATCACCCATCTCAATATCTCCACCACCAATACCATCCTCATCCCATATCAACTCCCTTAAAAGATCCTTCACGCCGTCCTCGCGTGCCGCGGACCTCGATCTCGTGCCACGCGGGCGGCTTCTCGGAGCTCTTCGGCGGCGCCCGCGAGAGGCCGTCGCCCATGTCCTTGCGAGGAGCGGGCGAAGGCGAGTGGTGGAGGGACTGGTGGAGGGACTGGCGGAAGAGTCAGGAAGCCTTTTTGATTGATGGACACCTCTCAGTCTCTCAGTATGTAATCTAAGAGAGTCATGGGTACGTGAGGTTACACTCATTCCAAAGAAATGATTTGATTGGCAAGTTCAAAGTGCTTGGATCAATCCTCCAGATTCATGCTGCCAAACCCAGATGGGAGCCTTGTCAAATCTCTAGCCTCCAGGACCTAAGGATTTCCTGCAAACAGAACTGGAGAACTTCGCTATAGAGTTCAGCAATTAGTTGGACCATGTGGCCGCGTTTCTGTTTTTTCAACATTCTGGTTTTGGGGGTGGGAGCGGCTGGGGTGGGCACAATTACATTTCTGTTCACTAGCCATCGGCACAGTTTGCTTTTGCAGCCAAAACACAGGAAGTTTGTTTTCCGGAGAACAGAAGAGTTGGTTTGAATATATGTAACTATGTATATTTTTGGGGGGGGGAATCGTCTAGTAACTATATAGTTTTGTTTCTTTGGCAAACGAAACGGTGGAAGATCCCAGTTTGGTTTTGTTGGAGGATCGGGAACCGAGTGGCTTTCCGGGAAGAGAACATGTTGTTGTTGTTGCTGTTTCAAGGAAGAGAAGAGTGAGAAGAGAGTTCTTTGGGGGACTGAAGCACTGAAAAAACGATCACAATAACCTAGTTAGCCCCCCAGAGCGATCGTTGCGGACAGAAAAAAAGGCGGTACTGGAATCAGCATGTACGCGATTCCATTGGGGAGTCGGCCGGCTCGTTGTGGGACCTCACTTTGTCGGCCGTCGCACGTTGACAGCAGCTGTGCGGAGTTTGGCGTTGGTGGCGCGATCGGTGGTTCCTCCTTGACCTGTTCGTGTTCGACAGTGTGCCCAAAAGCCACAACAAAAAAGGTTCGATTGGCGTTTCGGAAGCACTCGTTGCACGTGGCGCGGGAAATCATGTCACGCAACAGTCCGCGCACAGCCATCTATGGCGCGCAGACCTAGGACCTAGTTAGCTGTGAGTACACCCCCTCGCAGCAGAAGCATTGAGTAGGCCACCAGTGGTTTCGTTCCCCTTAGAAACACTCGAACAATGCAGCGAGTTGGTACTCATGCAGCCTCCGTTACCCAAACACTCCATGTATGCCATATAGCCTACGTACATTGACCCCCAAAACCACCCCAACTGATCGGCATATATGCCAGTCCCATTAGTCGTGTCTGGGTGTTAGTTTCTCAGTTGGCCATGCGGCAAATGAAAAAAGGGCAGTTCACCCGGGAGCACAGCCCGGCCGACACGCCCTCGACCCGACCTCTCCTCAATCCGATGAGGGATCGGTACATGATCATCGTCAGGTTCCTTAACGAGACTGGACCGGGCAGAAGTTGAACCGATCAGTGGTATTTAGTGTATAGTGTGTTTGGGATTGACTTAGTGTATATTATACTGTAGTGCATCTATATATAAAGTACTATTTAGTGTTGGGATTATAGGGAGGGCTCACGCTTACACTTCCACAGAATCATGGAAGTGGTTTTCACCCATGGAAACACCGGAGGACAATTGTTTTGCAAGGCAAGGGGCCATGCATGGCCATGCCATCCGGCGGAAACTGAGAAGTTTGGGATTCGAGTGTGTGAGAATTGTAGGTTCTGGCACTGAAATGGGAGAAACTTTCAAGACTCAACCGCCGGAGAAAAGGATTTCAGGAGTTCCAAAACTGAATCTCTTTGCTGAACCAAATCTAAATGAGGTAGGGTATGGTAATGCCAAACAGGCCAAAAAACAGGCCAAACCCTTCTCTTAATTTACAATCCCAAGCCAATCCGACAATTGCTTCCAGGTGTTTGCCAAATGCCTTCACCGACAGTACGTAGGCAAATCATCAATACAGTAGAATCCCACACCCTGCCAGGATCGTACTCTGTGAATCAACAGAATTAAGGACCGCCGTGCCGCAAACGCTCCAAGGCTGCGTGTGTGGAAAAATCATGAAAGATCTGCATCACTTGGTGGTGGTTGCACCCATGATTGAGGTGTTAACCCATGTGCCTGACATCTGACGTTTCATGTTTCTGTGAATCCACAAAAGCACCAACGACACAGCTGCAATAGTCGGACTTTAAAGCATTCCCTCAATCCAAGGGCTTGAAAAATGCATACTTCACCTATACCACGAACCATTGTTTATGGCAAGGTTCCGGCAGAACCGGCATTGACTGCGGTGGTGGCACCGTCTGTTGCGGCGGCACCGTCTGTGGCGGTGGCATCGTCTGCGGCGGCCGCATCGACTGTGGGTGCAACGGCCTTCGTAGCGAGCGATAGCCAGTGGGCAATACAGTTGTCTGTTGGCCCTCTTGCAAAACCAAGGTGAGGAGAGTGAGGAGTCCTGGAAATGGACATAAATATCCGCCGACCCCAGCTGATGGTGTATATATATACATATATGCAAGCATCATTATACAATATATATATATACATGTATCCCAAAATAAAAAATTGACCTTACTCTTTTGATCAAATTGCTTACGCTCTCCAAGGCTTCAAGCACCCAAGATCTCCACCTTTGATCAGTGAATCCTAACCCGTGATCAAATTCAAGAGATGTTTTTACCAGTTTTTACCATGGAACCCTGGCCCGAAGAGCTTTCAGTCTTCCGTATGGGCGAGCTTGGCCTTTTCTCGCGTCATTAAGTGCTCTCAGCTGGATGTGCTGTGTTGCTGACAACCGATTTATTGGCTTCATTGTTTGATTCCGAGAAGAAAACACCAACACAAAAAGAAACACAGCAAAAGACACATACTTGGACAGGAACAAGAAAATATTTACGCAAATGTTATGCCATTATTTAACTATACCATCATGGACTCATGGACCACCTATGACAAGTCTAACTGTGCTCTTTTTTCTGCCAAGTGGCATGGTGGCAGGTCGCATGGATGGCATGGATGCAGGGTGCATGGATGCAGGGTGCATAGATGCAGGGTGCATAGATGCAGGGTGCATGGATGCAGGGTGCATAGATGCAGGGTGCATGGATGCAGGGTGCAAAGCAGAGGCTGTCTGCAGCGGCTGAGGTGGGTAGCTTCTCCCCGCCTGCACAATGCACGATCCACGGTGGACGTGCGCAAAGAAGGGAACCCGTCCACCCTTTTTTGCACGTTCACATCCGGAATCCCAATCCACTGTCGAGATGGGCACCTGCCAAATGACCCCAAAAACAGCGTGGTAAAAAGCATCCCCAATATCATCTGAACGATTGATATGAAAGGGGAAGGTCTGGCGAATTGATCGGATGGATGTCCTATGGATCCCTCGATCTTGCCTGGATCTGTCGCGGCTCAACAGGCACGAGCCGGCTCGGGGCATATGCCTCCTGGTGAATGGCCAGCGGTTAAATCGTGGAGCTGGCAACACGCATCATTCTTATTTTGGTTTTGCGCCGCACAGACTATGGTCGGAAAAAGGTCTGATTGTACAAAGTCTGATCACGATTCGTGCTGCGATGAATCGTGTCTTCTCGAAGGTCGAAAAACGTGAGAAAAGGCCGCGGTTCCTTTTTGAGACTGCATGGCTCAGCGATCGACTTCGGGGAGAAACGTGGGGCGGTTTGTGCCCAGACATCATGGTGGGTGATCAAGGTGCTAGGACTACATCTTTCACACTGGTCTTGTTTTTGCGATCATCCACCAGTTGGGCCCATGGGCGTTGCAGCCACTGCCTGAATCTGTCGCAAAGATTCAAGTCTATCTTCGTCAAGCAGTCTGAGTGCTGCAGGTGCGTAGGCACCCACCTTATTGCCTTTGGCAAAAAGGTCTCCTGAACACTGCGTACTTGCACCATGCTACTCTTGTCTGTCAAGGCCGGGTTTTCGGCCGTCAAGACATCATACAGCGATTTGGCGTCTGTGCAAATCAGCGAAGCCAGGCGCTGCTCGCCTTTGAAAGCTGGTACTAGGTGAAAAAGTTCTGTCAAAAAGTGGTTGACAAAACATGACCTATCGGTGGCCTCATCGGCCGCACAGGCCTCACTCGCAAGGGTGCTGCGGCACACTCGGGCGCTACGCCCGCTTTTCCAGAGCCGTACGTGGTGACCTCAGTCACTGCAGCGGGGCATGCCATCACCACGACGCCATACTGCGAGGCAAAGGTGGACGCGTTCGCCCAGCTGCTTTCCGAGAAAGTGACCAACGTTGTCCCGTTCCCAAAAGAAACTCCAGGGAAGGTTATGCCGTCAGAGTCCGTTGCACGGGCATAATCCACAGCTTCGTACAGCTTTTAAACAGATCTGTGACATCAGTGGAAGAGCCACGATGGCAGAGCGAAGCTGTCGAACTCAAATCCGGCCTCGACTGACCTGCTAGCCATTGGATGGAGCCGCAAACGCTCCTGAACTCCTGCATCTCCTCAACACTCATCTTCAAGCTCTGCTGCAACCTGCCGGTTTTGAGGTGACCGGGGGCCATGTTCTTGATGAACTTGCTTTGCGACACCTTGTAGATGAAGCGGCCATCTTGCAGGTGCATGGTGATTTCCTTTCCACGATACTCGCCAGGGGTGTTGACATCAACACGAGTCTGGGAACCCCAGCTGAACAAGCTTGTCAGGCGCTCTGCATCAAAGGACTCACTGTAGGCCGCCATGAAATCGTCCACACGCACGATCAGCGCAAAGGAGTGCTTCTTGAATCCAGCCCTGCACAGGGTACTGACCACACTCGAGGGGCATTGGCAAGGCCGTAGCAATTGCCTACAATCTCGTAAAGAGGTGCTGGGTAGGCGTTTGCTGCCTCCAAGGTCGGATCTCTCGGGGGTGCCATGTTTGGCGGCTGGTTGCCACGTTCGGTCTTGTCCTGAACGCCTTGTAGGAAGGCCTTTTCAGCGTCTGAAAGCCACAGATGCCACTGAAGCCCATCCTCTTGGAAGGCGCGGTTTGCGCCAGAAGCTGCAATGGCAAGGATCACAAACTCGCTGAGGCGAGTTGGAGTTGGAGAGTCTCGTGTGAGACGTGTCAAATCTGGGTCGTTGCATACGATCAAGACTACTCGAGTCTTAGCCTGGATGATGCCAGGCGCTTTGCTTTTGTTCTTGTAGGCTGCCCTGCTTTTCATGACTCTGCGTCGGAGAACGGGGTCAGCCCACACAGCATCGGCTTCCTTCTGAGACAGCGGAAGGATTCCGCTCCATGTCATCCAGCCTGTGTATTCATTCACGGCTGACTGGGTGAACTTCTCCCTTGCCATTAAGGGAAGTGCCATCACCTCACGCCATGGCAGCTCTCTGTCAAGCTGCTTGAGCTCTTGGCGGGTGAGCTTCCGCTCGTTGGAGATCGACAGATCTTCGTCAGAGCTGCCATGGTCTGGTCGTGTGGCTCTGTTGCTGGATCTCCAGCTGCCGTGCTTTGCTTGTTAAGTATGCTTTGTATGCTTGGCTGAATGTTGGTACTGGGCTCCTTGCTGGGCACGTGCCATCCCAGTATTTGTCTCGGAGGGTTGCCGTGTTATCATCATAGATGTCGTAGTAGGTGAGGAGAGTGCGCAGTGCCTCAATGTCGTCGCCTGGTCTCTTCTGACCGGTTGGCGGTGCAGTGGACATTGGTTGTTCTGCTGGTTCAGCTTGCTGTACCCCCTGTGCCGGAGGCGGCTCTGCGGCTGCCGGCGCTGCTTCTGCTGTTGCTTGTACTGGAAGCTGCAAGGGAGTGTCAGACCTGCTGGTCTTGGTTTTGCCTGTGGACCGGATGTCTCGACAGGCGTCTGTGGTGCTCTGTTCGGTGTTCGGGATCGGCCTCGATGAGGTCGCGCCGTTGGTGGTACAGGTCCAAAGGACAGGTTGGGTCCGTATCGCTGGTATGTCGGTGAGTCGATGTTGATCTGTATCTGAATCTGCTGTTGGCCAATGTTGTGCTGGTTGGCCTGTTGGTTGACCTCTTGTGAGGTCTGGATGTTCATGGTTCATCCCTGCCTGTTGCCGGTGCGGTTGGCTGAGCGGCGATCGAACGCGCCACTTCGCCTGGTGGTATCGGCATTGTCAGAGGTGTCATCGGTGCGAGTTCACCTGGTGTCATTGCTGCTGCAGCGGCTGTGTCAAGGTGTTCTGTTGTGGCCTCTGGCTGGGCCAGGTGTGTGTGTCTTGCCACAGTGCTGGTGTGTTTGGTGCTCCATGTTGCTCCAACAGGTCTGCATCTGCTGTTACGTGTTGTTCTTGTGTTGGGTCGTCTTCGATTGCGTCACCCCAAAGACCTGTTGCTATGTTTGCTCTTGCGTCCTTGAGGAGCTCAATGTCTTCGGTGCTTGGTGTCCAACTTTCCCAGCCGACTGCGCTGCGAAGTTGTGTAGCGCCGACCCGAAGTGAGGTCTTACCGACCTGGATCCAGCATGTCTTCTTGTCTGGATCGTGAGCCAAGAGACGGCCCAGACACCAGCCGCCTTTCTTGCGTTGGCGCGACCTTGCGCTCCATCGCCAGAAAGCTACTGCTTGTCCTGCTTGTAGGTTGCTGACGTCTCGTTGTGTTCGTGTCTTGCGAAGCAATGCACGGTTCACAGACTGTGAGGCTGTTGTCTGCATCAGTGCTGCTACCGCTTCTGCTCGTAGGAGTTCGGGTCGAAGTAGTGAGGTGTCTGTCTCTTGAAATGGCCAGTGACATGTCATCGGAAATGATGTCTCCGATGGCCCAAAGCATCCGAGATTGAAAAAATTCAATCGCTATTGATTTTTTCAATCGAAGATTGAATTTGTGCAAAATTCAATCGAATTTTTGTTTTTTCAATCGAATTTATGCTTTTGAAATTCAATCGAAATTGGTTTTAAAATTCAATCGTTTTTGCACTGGTTTTCTACTTGTTTGTGTCATTTTTGGCATGCATGAGGTCTTCTCTGGGGCTGTCAAGCCCACAAGTGCAACTCTATAGGGCTGTCCAGCCCACAAGCTTGTACTTATGGAAACAAGTTAAGGCTGTCCAGCCTAGTCTGCAGCCCATGGCAATCCAACTTGCAATGCAGCAAGGCAATGTTTTCTCACTCTTCTGCAGAGTCGATGATGTCCAGATTTCTGTACCCCTTGAGGAGTAGATGAAAGACCAGCCTGAATTTCATCAGCACCTTTCCAGTCACTTTGTGAGCTGGTGTGCCCCAAGTGCAGCTGGATGATATCTGCTTTATGATGCCCATAAAGCTCTCTGAGCCATAGCACCATGTGCTGGCTGGATGGATATGATGGGCTTGTGCCAAAAGGTGATTCAATTTGTGGTGCTTCTGCACCAGAGAATATCGATGCAAACCTTTTTCAAAGG